GGTTCGCTCACAGGGAGTGGAATGTGTAGGGGATGTGTTATGTGTTACTGTAGAGGATCTAATGTCTGTGCTTATGGAATGTAGTGTATAGGGATACCAGTTTGTGTAGGTGATGCAGTATGTATGTAGTGGAAGCAGTGTGTTTTTGTGTAAGGGATAGAAAGCAGTGAGTGTTTGTGTATAAGGGATGTATTGTGTGTTTCTTGTTGTGTGTAAGGGATGCATTGTGTGAATCTGTGTTTGTATGCATAAGGGATGCAAAGTGTGTTTCTGTGTATGTAAGGGATGCAGTGTGTTTCTGTGTATGTAAGGGATGCAGTGTGTTTCTGTGTATGTAAGGGATGCAGTGTGTGTGTCTGTAAGGGGCATGTTGAGTGTGTGTAAGAGATGCATTGTGTTTCTGTGTGTGTAAGAGAAGCAGTGTGTATTTGCATGTGTGTGTAAGGGATGCATTGTGTGTTTCTGTGTATATGTGCAAAGGATGCATTGTCTTTATGTGTAAGGGTTGCATTGTGTGTTTCTCTGTGTGTAAGGGAAGCATGTTGTGTTTCTGTGTGTATTGGGATGCATTGTGTGTGTGTGTGCTCGTGGTGTGAAAGAGCTCCCTGTCCTGCCCCCTGTCCTATAGAGCTTTCCCTTCCATTCCTTAGAGACCTCCCCTGCCCCTTAGTGGTCTCTCCTCTCCCCCCCACCTCCCGTAGTGGTCTTCTTTTCTCACCGACTTTCCATTAGTGGTCTCTCGTCTCCCCCTTAGTGGTCTCTGCTCTCCTCTGCCCGCCTTTCCATTAGTGGTCTCTCCCCCCATCCTCCCTTAGCGGTCTCTCCTCACCTCCACCCCCCCTGTAATTTTCTCTTCTTCTCCCCCTTCCCTCCCTGTAATCTCTTCTTCTCCTCCGTAATCTTCTCTTCTTATCCCTCCTATAATCTTCTCTTCTCCCCCCATAATATTCTCTTCTTCTCCACCCTCCCTCCCTGTAATCTTCTTCTTCTCCCCTCCCTCAATCTTCTCCTCCCCCCCATCAATCTTCTCAATCTTCTCCCTCCCCTCCTCCCTCCAATCTTCTTCTTCTCCCCCTCCTCCAGTCTTCTCCACTCCCCTCCTCAATCTTTCTTCTCCCCTCCCTCAATCTTCTCCTCCTCCCTCCTCAATCTTTTCTTCTCCCCCTCCTCCAATCTTCTCCCTCCCCCCTCCCTCCAATCTTCTCCTCCCTCCTCCTCCAATCTTTTCTTCTCCCCCTCACTCCCAATCTTCTCCTCCCCTCCTCCAATCTTCTTCTTCTCTCCCCCCTCCCTCCAATCTTCTCCACTCCCCCTCCCTCCCTCCCTCCATCTTCTCCATCCCCCCTCCCTCCCATCTTCTTCTTCTCCCCCTCCCTCCAATCTTTTGCTCAATCTTCCTCCACTCCCCCTCCTCCAATCTTCTCCAATCTTCCTCCTCCCCCCTCCCTCCCTCAGATGCTTCTTCTCCCCTAAGCTCTCTCCAATCTTCTTCTTCTCCCCCTCCCTCAATCTTCTCCAATCTTCTCCTCCCCTCCTCCAATCTTCTCCTCCCTCCTTCCTGTAACGTTCCTCCTCCCCCCTCCTTCCTGTAACCTTCTCCACTCCCCCCCCTCCTTCCTGTAACCTTCTCCTCCCCCCTCCTTCCCTGTAACCTTCTCCACTCCCCTAATTTTTCTCCCTCCCCACCTCCTCCTGTAATCTTCTCCCAGGTGTAACCTTCTCCTCCCTCCACCCCTATAATCTCCCCATGTCTTCTCCTCACCTCCCCCGCCCTGTAGTGTGGCCGAGCTCCTCTACAGTCCGCGACCCGGCGGGACTGACTTCCTGTTAGTTCGGCCACGCTACATGGAAGGGGAGGTGAGGCAGTGCGGCAGCCGTCTGAGCACTCACTACAGAGCGCTCAGGTGGCTGTGGCATTTAAAGGGCCTATATGGCGCCCTGGGTGGCTGCCTAGTTCGCCTTATAGGAAGCGCCGGCCCTGATAACAGGTGACTATGGACTTATTTAATCCTTATTGGTCGACTTACCACTTATATAAGGTATTATTTTGTAAGTAATGTACCTTTATAAGATGTTCTTATTACTGTTTACCTACAAATGTATGAATTATACTTTAAGCCTAGAGGACGTTCTCCATTGAGAGCCTCTATGATATGATCATTATCTTTGTTTACAGAGAAGAGATTAACCAAGCCAGGAGGCAGGCAGTTTAAGCTTTAACCCTGCTCGCTCTGATGTCTCCATATACAATCATGAGAGAGATGTTACAAGGGGATGGTTTTAGGCCACGCGAGTATGTTTTGGGGATGGCTGAATGTGTGATGACGTTGCAGCGCTCAACTGCCTGTAATACGCCATCAGAGGAAGAGCGATCCCCTTTATATGTGCAGAGCTTGAACTAGGCCAGTTCAGTCACTCCAAAGCTCTTAACAAAGGCACACATTGTGCTGAAACACGTGTCGAGCTACTTGTTAGTTTTGTTTTAGCTCACTAATCTTATCGTATTGAGGCAGTTGTTGAGGTATTATAGCTAAGGTAGGCAGTGCTCCTTGATTAATTAACAGACTGCTTTGAAGCAGTAGGAGTTTTCTTGGATTTAGAGATTATAAAGGTGGTTTCCTATTAACCCTCTCTTATCCTCCCACGCTCTTCCCTCTTTACCCCATTTCAATTATATGATTTTTTTGAGAAAGGCGTTTTCCATACCCCACACCCGTCTTCTCATCTCATATCCAACTTTTTCAAATTCAATAGAACTCCTTATTAGGAATGTTACTGACCCACCATATCATATTATGTTACTGTGTAACAGATCACCTGCTTTATGTTACTTAATTAGCAGACTAATTAGTGAGGATTTACTTTTTTTAATTGATACATGGTGATTATATTTGATTAATTCTATACCATCTAACCGTTTATCCTACAGTTTGATTATTCTACTATTTCATCTAATTTAAATTTAAATTGAATTCTTGATTTATAGTTCTATTTTATGAGACATATGGTCTTATTATAGTCTAATAATCTATCATTACATTGGATAATCTAATTCAGGGCTTCCCAAACTTTTATGGGCAGAGACCCACTTTTCAAAAACATAAATTTTTCGGGACCCACTTGCTTTTAATGCATATTTTAAAACGTGAGCACCATGGCAATCAGCTTTAGAGGCATACAATTGGCACACCATGGCAATCAGCTTTAGAGGCATAAAATTGGCACACTATGGCAATTATTTTTTTTAGAGGCATACAATTGAAACATCATGGCAGCTTTAAATACATAAACTTGGCACATCATGGTAATCACTTTTAGATGCATAAACTTGGCACATCATGTCAATCAGCTTCAGAGGCATACAATTGGCACACCATGGCAATCAGTTTTAAAAGCATACAATTGGCACACAATGGCAATCATCTTTAGATGCTTAAAATTAGCATGTCATGGCAGTTTTAGGGGCATTATTTTGACATATCATGGAGTTTTAGAGGCAAAAACTCTGCACATCATGGCAATCAGTTTTAGAGGCATACAGCTGCTTACTCACAGACTCAATCAGAATTAGAAGTGCTGTGTCCTGCTCTTTCATCCAGGCACCTCATGTTTATTTTCCCAGTGGTGGAACTAATGTGGAGAGGGCCCTGGTCCACGTGTATTTTCTGGGCCCCCCTCCAGTGCCAGTGTGGCCAAAAGGTAGATCTCCATCTCTCGGAGAACTTCAACAATACTATGCCATTTGCGCATTATTGCAGGGTTATATTTGTGAGCAGTGTTTGAGCGTTTGAATGTAAACATGCTTTTGTATTCAGTATATGTGTGCATGTATGGGTGTATTTGTGTGTACTGTTGCCATTGAATGTAGTGGTGTACTTGTTTGTAATGTTTGCGTATGAATGCAGGGGTGTTTGTATGTAGTGTAGCACTTGAAATGCAGGTGTGCTTTTTGTGTGTAGTGTTTGAATGAAGGGGTGTTTGTATATAATTTTAGTGTTTTACTGCTCACTTTGAGCACAAAGGCTCCACACCTTTGGAAATTAAATGATGAATACATAAAGCAGAACATGGGATGGGGAAGGACCTTTTGCCTTCCCACAAACTTTTCTCTACCCCATTTTTCCTTTTGCTCTTCTAACCTCCTCCCATCTTTTTTACTCAGTGTTTCCTTTATTCTCTTTCAAACACAAAATAAAACTATGCACTTAAAGCAGCAGTGGCTTAGTATTTAACAGCTCAAAATACATAGTAAAAATAAAGAGAACGTTACCTGCGCTCTGGCCCAAATCCCTATTTAATCCCCCACACACTGTATCCCCTTCTATCCCTGCCCCCACACGTATCCCATTCTATCCCTGCCCCCCCCCACATTGCAATTCCTTCTCTCCCTGCCACCCCTCCCACACTGTAACCCATTCTCTCTCTGTCCTCCCCACACTGTAACCACACTTCTCTCCCTGAATATAAGCTCACCTGCCACATGAAGGCAAGCCCCAAAAGGTGAGTCCTAGACTAGCCATTAGATTTGCTGATATCAGCCAAGGATCTCCAGTGAGACAGGAAGGGATATTTTATAAACCCTTTCACATTTAACCCTCTATAGGGCTTCTACACATACAATAAACGTTTCTGGTATCAGACAAAGTGTAAACATCTCTAATGAGACATGAAGGGGTGTCTGTAGGGGGTTTATATAATACCCCTTCATGTCTCATTAGAGTTGTTTGTCTGTCTTATTGGAGATTCTTAGCTGATATCAGCATATCTAATGGCTAGAGTAGGACTCACCTTTTGGGCTTGCCTTGACATGGCTTATATTCAAATGGCCATTGGAATAAAACTAAAGAGCCTCCATTTTGTTTAAATGTACATAGGGACTTAAGCCAGAGCGCAGGTAACGTTCTCTTTGTTTTTACCTTTATTCTTTTTGTATGGGTTTTCTGATATCCTGCAAATAGAACTATTTATGACTCAGTGAGATAGGGAAAAATCAAGATTGACTACAACCCTCTGCTGCCTGTCCCTCAGCCACTGCCTTAGCCATTCAACAATATTGGATTCCAATATTGTTGAATGGCTAAGGCAGTGGCTGAGTGACAGGCAGCAGAGGGTTGTAGTCAATGGAGTATATTCAAAGCTTGGGCTTGTCAGCAGTGGGGTACCTCAGGGATCTGTACTTGGACCCATTCTCTTTAATGTTTTTATTAGTGATATTGCAGAAGGTCTTGATGGTAAGGTATCTCCTGCTGATGATACTAAGATATGTAACAGGGTTGATGTTCCAGGAGGGATAAGCCAAATGGCAAATGATTTAGGTAAATAACTAAACTAACTAACTAATAACTAAACTGGTCAGAGCTGTGGCAACTGACATTTAATGTGGATAAGTGCAAGATGATGCATCTTGGATGTAAAAACCCATGGGCAAAGTACAGAATATTTGATAGAGTCCTTATTTCTGATGACTTAAAACGTAGGCAGACAATGTAATAGAGCAGCAGGAAATGCTGGCAGAATGTTTGGTTGTATAGGGGGAGGTATTAGCAGTAGAAAGAGGGAAGTTACATAGTTACATAGTTACATAGCTGAAAAGAGACTTGCGTCCATCA